ATGAACGCACTACGCGGGGAGACGGCGGTGCCCATCACGTTGTGCTGCCCCGGTTACGTCGATACAGACTTCCACCAACGGGCCCAACTCACAGGTGCTTTTGCATCCAGCAACACTCGCCGCGGTGTGCCAGCGCACGTGTGTGCACGGGCTTGCCTCGACGGTGCACTTCGCGGGGACGCCGAAGTGCTGACAACACTTCCAGGTAAGCTGGGATACATTCTGCGGCCCATCTTTACGAAATTCATTGATGCCAGGGCGAAGAAGATCAGTCTTCACTCGCTTCAAAAATAATCGGTACCCGCTTGTCATGGTCTCAATGAGTCTTTTTTTTTAAATATATTTTCCACCCCTTCTTTCTCTCTCTTTCTTCATATATACGGAACGCTTGAGCCTGCGCATCCCCCTCTACCATGCACCCCCCAAAACACCAAAAAACAACGTTTTTTTATTTATTTCTTTTTTTTTCTTCTTCTTCGCGTGGTGTCTGGAGGGAAGGATCAACAATGGCCAAGTCGAAGAACCACACGAACCACAACCAGTCGCGGAAGAACCATCGCAATGGCATCAAGCGCGCACTGCCGATGTATCTTCACAACTCGAAGCGTGGCAGCTGGCTGCCGGCTCTGATAAACGCCCGACGTGTGCGCAAGAACAATCAGAAGGCTGCCGTGAAGGCCCGCCGTGAGCGTCTTGCTGCACACAAGGCCAAGCAGAATTAGACCCGAAAGGTCGCGTTGGACTTGAATGGATCCTCTCTTTTTTGTTGTTTATGTCTTTTTGTCCTTTTCATTTTTTTTTTTGGTTGATTGCCTGTTGAGGCTAAGAGGAAACAAAACTCTTTTTGTTCCGTCTTCTTTCACCGGGGATGGACACATTTCTTTGCGGGCATGGAGAGAGAGCGTGTCTTTTGCCGATGCGTTCTCCATCTACTTGGACCTTCTTTTGCCCCCTCCTTTTTTTTTTTCTTTGGTTTGGTGATTTCCCTGCGAATTAAATACTTCTAAGGAAGTGAGGATCAACAATGGCCAAGTCGAAGAACCACACGAACCACAACCAGTCGCGGAAGAACCATCGCAATGGCATCAAGCGCGCGCTGCCGATGTATCTTCACAACTCGAAGCGTGGCAGCTGGCTGCCGGCTCTGATAAACGCCCGACGTGTGCGCAAGAACAACCAGAAGGCTGCCGTGAAGGCCCGCCGTGAGCGTCTTGCTGCACACAAGGCCAAGCAGAATTAGACCCGAAAGGCGTAAAAGGGGAATAAAATGGCATTGTGCATGCACGTTTGTGTGTGATGGGGCGTTCATATTCCCCGTCGTTTCTTTGTGGCTGTCTTGTCCTTATGTACACGAGGAGAGACTGGCTCCTGCTTCCTCTTTTTTTTTTTTCTTCTTTTTTTCTCACGCTGACTCTCTCTCTCTGTGTGTGTGTGTGTGGCCATCACGCACCTTTTTTCTCATTTCCAAACCTTCTGATGGGAAAAGAGGGCGGCTGTCGGAAAGGCCATCGTTCCTCACATGCAAACACCTTTTTTTTTTCTTCGTATCTCTTTTCCCTTCTTGGCATTGAAGGTAATATTTGGGGGCATTAGCAGGTGTTTCTACATTATACATTATTTATATATACATATACATTGGGGGAGATTAGAGCGTGTGTGTGTGAGTGTGTGTTTGTATAGTCCGGTAGCGACTCCCACATCTTGAAGGGGGCAGGAGAAAAAAGGAAAAAAAAGTCCTGTTGGTATCTAAATGTGGCGTCGCACGGCCCATCTTGCACGCACACCTGTCAGCGCGTTCCTACACGAGCCGTCCCAGCGGAAGACGTTTGAGGAGACATTAGCGCAATGCAGCGCAAATGGAACGGATATGGCGAGCAGCCTGACATCTGACTTTGCCTCTCTTCAGTCAAAGTTGTTGAAGTATCGAATTGTTCGTCTGCGGGACGAGCTGCAGTACGTGCGGCATAATCCTTTAGCTAGTCTACCCTCCCCTGGTGACCTGTTAAAGCACACGGTGTTGCTGACGCTAGTCTTTCTTTTCTTTCGGAACCTCGGCCGTCTTTCTTTCCGCCCGCTTGAACCGGTGACAGATCCTGCCGACGCAACGACAACAGAAACGACGGAGATGAATACAAAGGCAGGAAATAATTAAGAGAAGAGAAAACTAACAGAGAGAGAGAGAGAGAGAGCAACAAAAACAATAACGGGAAAGGTGCTCCGTGCATGGGGCACGAGAGGGAAGAGGGTAATGATGATGAAAATATTGATTGTGGCGACGTTGGAGGAGATGCATTTGTGTGTGTGTGTGTGTATGTTGGGCAGTGGAGATTTTGTATTGTTGTGCTGCTGAAGGTGGAAGTAGCGGACACGCTCTCCCTTTTCTGTTGTTGTTGATGATGATGGCTATTATTTGCAGGTGTAAGAAAATCCAAACATGTCTTGTATGTGTTTATGTCATTTTACGAAACACATTGGGGGAGGTAGGCGTGTGAAGGGAATTTCTTTGCTTGTTCGTGAATGAAGGGTGGCTGTTGGCTCCCTTTTGGGTTAATGCTTGCGTGTTTCTTTGGCATCGCATTGCATATACATGAGTGTTGCACAATACACACAGAAAACAGAGAAAATACATGAACGACATCCACGGCCCGTCAGTGTCTCTCCCTATTGGTTTTTTTTTTTCTTTTGTAAATATGTTTTCTTGTGTGTGTTCCGCGACAGGCATCATGCACAGGCATTTTTACATTATTATCAGGCATTTGTCTATTGTAAATGTTCCCCATGAATGCACCTCATATGCGGATGGATGTATGTATGTTTGAGTATGTGCGTGCGTGTGTGTGCCTCTTTTTTTTTTTTTTTTCTTCTTCTTTTCTTTTGATTTGTTTTGGTAATAAGTGCGATACAACGAGGGTTCGCATTCCTGTAAAGTAATCCAAGAGACATCATCATTATTCTCGACAGCTGCCGAGAAAAAGGGAAAGAAGAGGGGGCACTGTGGGATACACAGAGACAAGGGGTGCAAGGGAGGGGGGAGCGGAAAGGAAGCGAAATACGGCGCTGGTTGGTGGGGCGGGATGACGTTGCGTCGACTTGTCAAGCGGCCAAAGATCACCAACCTCCAGATGCTCCTGATGCGCCGCCGTGAACCGTACAAGCCAACTATGAAAGATCGCCACGAAATTGAGAATCGTGAGAAACTTGAGCGCTTTGAAAAGAAGGCCGCAGAGGGAATTATGTTCGTTCCAGACAAGGTCTTGCCGCCATGGCAGAAGTCACTCGCTACGAACGCTTATGCGAATGCATCACGCATGAATTTTAGGGGGTTCCGCGTGCGTGTGGCGGACAAGCAGGATGAACCAGGCTTCCCAACTCCATTTCGTTGATATTACACCCACACGTGTGACTCTGCGTGTGCGCGGGGTGGGGAGTTCTGCTGGAAGCCCATACATCTGTTAGTGTTGTTGTTTGTGCGGTGCTGTTTTCCCGTAAAATCACGGTTGATGTTTTGCATGCGTGCTTATCACGGAAGATGAACGGTGCTTTTTTGTGTTTTTTTTTCTTCTTTGCCTTGCATGGTAGACGCATGTATACACCGGTTTGTACCGCCGTGATCATTATTTATTAATTCTTGTGAACGGAATACTTCTGCGTGTAAATGTCTGTGCATTGTTGTTGTTTTTTAGTTTTTTTCTTCTCTTAAATCTTCCATGACATTTGTGCCTGTGTGGGGTGCGTTAGAAGGTTGAGCTAGGGGAAGGGAAAAGAACGAGAAAGGACAAATCCACGCAATTTGCCGGCGACGTCGATTTTGACACGAGCGGGAGGGAAACAGAGAAGTAAACTTTTTTTTTTTGCCTGACATCTCGTTTCTCTTTTTTTTTTTTGTTGTGTGTGTGTGTGTGTGTGTGTGCCGTCATGCCAATGGATGTGCCTCCAAATATTCACCACGTCGGTGAAGTGACCTCCACGATGGATGCCGCGCGTCAGATGTTGACTGCTGCGAATGGTGTTCCTTTTGCCGTTCTTGCAGAGTCGCAGGTGAGGGGGCGTGGCACGGGTGAACGTGTGTGGATTTCACCCAAGGGCAACATGTACTTCACGCTTTGCATCCCCGAAAAAAGTGTCACGCCGGAGATTACTCCAGTCCTACCGCTCCTCACGGGGCTTGTCTGCCGTGCCGCCATCATGAGTGTCATCAAGGGGGCCGTTTTACATTTGAAGTGGCCAAATGATATTATATACGCCGGGAAAAAGATTGGCGGAAGTCTCGTGGAGAGTGAGGGAGAGAGCCTGATTATTGGGATTGGTATGAATGTCGAGCTGGCGCCGCCGGTGACGGATAGCGGTCGGGCGTCCACCACCGTCAATGAGATTGCGGCAGCTTTGGGGCAGCCAAAAGTCACACCAGCGCAGCTGGCGGAGCTTGTCTGGAAGCATTTCTTCCAGATGATTTCAGACACGGCGTTGACACGCAAGATCCTTGTGTCGAGGTTTGACGCAGCGATGGACAAAAGTCTTTCACTTCATCGCCGCACGCCAACGGGACGTGATCCGGAGGAACTACGTGCCCTGCGGCTGAATGAGTGGGGACATCTCATCGTCTCGAGGCCAGACGGCACGGAGGAGACTCTCATGGCGGAATATCTTTTTTAGCCTTTGGAGGTGCGCGCGTGGGCGACGATGGATGGGAGTTGTCACCACCACGTACGGCTGTTTACTCCGCCATCAATCGCATATGTGAACCACAGCGCCGTTTCTCTGACTCTCATTACAAAATAATAACAAAAAAAAAAAGAAAAAAAAAGGGCTTTCGTAGAGAAAACGTGCGGCCACACGGGGCCGAATAAAAAGAAATAAATAAATGAAATTTTTTTTTTTTTTTGTTAGTCGTGGGTGTTTTTTTCCTTTTTTTTTTTTTTTCTTTTCCGCGTGGATTGGGTTGTTTCTTAAGATGCCGCGAGGGAAGGCAGGAAGTGGAGGTCTTTTTTCCTTTTGTTCCACTCTCTTTCTACTGCTGCTCTCCACGAGGGGAGGTTGGGAGGCGGCGGGGCCTCTTGATGAATG